CACATTATAACGCCCCCACGGCTGAAAGGGCGAGCATGTTTGGTGGGACGGGGATTCGAACACGCGACCCTCAAAATGCGAGTCGAGCGGCATATCCACCTGGCCATGACTGGCCGAGAAGAAATAAAGACTAGTAGGTGTTGAAATGTGGATTTGGCTGAAAGTCATGAAAATAAGTTGGATTGAAAGAATAACAAATTAAGTTCTACATCAGATGAGAGAAGATAGACTTGTCTGATCAGTCATGAAGTGGATGAAAATCTACATTGGGCATGTGTCGAGAGGGAATGACCAAATGAGGGAGTTAATCGAAAGTAAATTTCTTGGGAGAAGGAAAAGGATGATGAAGCTAGATGATGTCCAACAATGAAGGTCTTATGGGCAAATTAACAGAGCCCCTGAAGATAGAGCTAAGTAGAGAGAACCATGTTCTAAGAACAGAACACATGACGATGATGATGTCACAGATCACTGTAGGATTCCTGCTATTAATAACAAGACTTGAATTAATATGTTCAGTGATTAATATTTTAATGGAACACAAGCAACTAATTAAATTGATGTCTAACTGATACTCAGAAAATTCACTTATAAACAATTTAAAAACATTAACAATCTGAGAACTAATGTACAATAAAGCTTATATTTATGAAAAAAGTGTTAACATTACTAAGACACATATACTTAAAGGAACTTGTCAGAAAAGAATAAAACAAGTTAAAATACATAGATTAACGTTAAAATCAATAATCGAAGCCTTATTTCTAAGGATTTAAAGATTTTCACTGTAGCTCTAAAAAGAAACGTGTTCTAGAAAAAACGTCAGAAAAGAACGTTTGAAACAATATGTATTGTATACGTTTGTTCTTCATAACGAACAAAAAATCACATTGTATTAAATTAAAGTATTATGACTATTATGCTCGCGAATAACAGAAAACGTTTCAGGATGATATATTCTATTGTCTTACACTACATAATTCCTAAAGGTACTTTCCCATACATAAACAGAGACAGGATTGTGTTTCACCAAACATTCTACAGATGGGGGGGGTTAAAACTATGATCTTGTAACGTTTTTATTATGTTTATGTGTTATCGATTAGAAGATGTGTACTTAATAAGTTATGTTGCTTTAATGCCTTTTGTAAGTTCACGCAGATGAACATATATTGTTTGAATGAGATTTCGAAGACTATTTTATTTTTGTTTTTATATACCCAAAAAGTATTGTCGCTGTTTCAGTATCAAAAGAACGAAGCAAGATAAACTTGTTTTCAGTCAAGTTTGTATTATCATTTTCTTGATATTTACTAATTTTCACTAGATTATAGAAATAGGCGTGATACAAGTTAATATCCCTTGTGTAGCTTTGCGAGAAGATCTGAAAAAATCCTAATTTTAACTTCAATATTTTGACAAATTTGTGAAATTGTATTTTGACTATGTATTAGAGGGGTCCTTGTTATAGTATCCATTTGCAATGACATGCTAATACAGTTTTAGTTGAAATGGTACAGAAAAACCAGCTTAAGAAATTCTAGAAACTGTCATTGGTTACAGAATATTCCAGAAGTAAAAAGTTACAGCAGGAATTATTTACACATGCAAGTTTGTTGAACATTTTGAATAATGTGGAATATTCTGGGATACTCCAGAATATTCCATAACATTCCAAATTAATACAGAACCTTCCAGAATTATTTAGAATATTATAAAACATATTAGAATATTCAGAACATGAAGATACAATGCGAGCTACAATATATGTATATATATATTTCAACTAGCTTCAGCAGCCCCTAAATGTTATTCAATACGGATAAAAATTGGTGTGAATTATTTATTGATATATTGGAACAAAATATGGTGGTGAGAGTGTTCTAAAACAAAACTTCAGAAACGATGATTAATTAATCCAACATTATTAATAAGGGTATTTGAATCTTTCTGTTTACAAAAAATAAACATCTAATTTAGTTGGAAAAAATCTAATACATATTAAGTTTAATTTTATGCTTTTTCTTTTTAGGACTCCTTCACAATGGAGCAAAATGTTTGACAAAGTCTTCGCTTTCCTTTCTTTTCATTATGTCAGAGATGTTAGAAAATTTCTGAATATACTTCATGATATATTAAAACCAGGGGGGTACTTTCTCTCTATCGGTATAGCTTCAGCTCCTGCGTTTTCTGTTTGGTTAGAAATGTCATTGAAGGAAGAGTGGAAACAGTACTTTATCGTAAGAATTTATTTCTGATATTTATATTGCTTTTATGTTTTTAAGATCCTTTACCGATTTCTAGTGAGCATGTGACTAATATGCTACTATTATTATAATATTATCTATGTAGAATAAATTTTTACACATACAATCACCTTATACTATAGGGCATTTTGATAATCATGAAATAAATCTTAAAACATCTTCAATACATTTTGAATGAGCATGTAGAGATCTATTATTTATTACAATGATATCTATTTAAATTTTTTGTAAAACAATCACCTTAGACCATAAAGAATTGTAATAATCATAAAATAAATCTTTAAAATTATTTTTGCTTTATCTTTATTTGTTTCATAGTTTTTGCGCAAAGCTAAATGAAAGTATATTTTCGTTATGTCTGTCGAGGGGAATCGAAACCCGAATGTTAACATTGCAAGTCCGGAACCATAGAAAGTTAGACTAGTTAATATTATACACCGACAACTCTCGGCTACTCTTATCTGATCGAGTAGTGGGAATTGACGGTCACTCTTATAGAATACTCAGACCCCCCCACCATCAGGAGATCGGGATATCATGGGGGGGGAGGAAGTTGAGGCCGGGTGTATAATCTTTATATTGTGTGTTTTTGTTTCGTTTCAAAACATTAATTTTTCGTTAATTTGTTGTTAAACACAAAGCTACACAATGGCTTATCTGCGCTATGCCTACTGCTAGTATCGAATCCTAGTTTTTTTGTATTGTTTTTTAGCGTTATAAAACCACAGACTTACCGCCGAGCCACCTGAAAGAAACATTAAAGTATAATACCAAATTATTCTTTCAAATTAGTTTATTTACTCTTAGAACGCTAAACTTATCAATTACTGTATACGAGAAAAGAGCTTATTAGATACTTGTATTCATTATTTCCACATATATTTTATTTTCATTCTCCCCCACTTTAAGTACAGAATTCAAAACACTATACATCAAACTGTAATGGTTGCAGTAGCGATGCGTAACTTGCTCCGTTTGTAGTTTGTTTTTATGACGGTATACGTGATCGGTTAATCATATAATAACTTCCTATCTCGCTAAGTATATTTAGGAAGAGCTATATCGTTTTAGCTGGGTGCGAATCAGTATGATACTAGTATATATTCCGTTAGCGTGGAGGGAGAATTGTAGGGGTGTTAGTGAATGGTTGGCTACCTTCTTCGAATGGCGGAAGACAGCCCTGGTAGTTTTACCATAAACATAAATACTATCCTTTTAGGTGAATCGTTATTGTGTAACTTACTTCATTTTAAAAATGAAAATGGGTATTGTATCTTATTAAACTAAAGACATTTTAGGGTGTCTTACGGACAGACTAACATTAATATTGGTGATAATGTTAAGTGTCAGTTCAGTAACTTGATAAATTATTTGTCAATAAATTCGAAGTTTCAGTGTAACAGAAAACGGAAACACATTGTTAAAATTAACCTACTATTTACCCACAGGGGATAGAAAAATACATTCCGGTTACCCATGTGTTAAAAGATTATTGTAATGGATTCAAGAAATTAGCAAAGGAATGTGGATTTGTCCCCATTGCTGTAACTTCAAGTTTGGAATCTGTTATTTTTGATTCAGAAAAACAGTTTATAGGTAAGTGTAGCGTAAATAATGTATTCATTTTAACAAAATATTTTGATTGTGGATTCTTGTATTTCACTTTATCAAACCTGGGAATCTAATTGTATTGATTCTTAAACACATTTATTAATTAACAGAACGTGTAGACGTCATGTTTGCTCAGTTACTAATGTTTCTCAGAAATAATCAGAGTACATCATTAGTCTGTATTAAACAAACAGTTCATTAGAAAGGTGAGTGATCGACATTTCTTCGAAGGTCAGGTACGGTCAAGTAGATTTTCAGCAAAAGAAGAAGCAGAACTCTGAAGATTATGAATCGTGATGTTAATTTTAATTATTCTCAATAAAGATATCGTGGGTAACTTCTATATAGGTACAAGAAAATAACTGAAGATGATCCTACTAGTGTCACACTTTTCAAGTGAAAGAGTACATGTTATAATTCGTGAAACAAACTAGTTATACTCCATTTTTTCTTTAATGTTAGTTTTACTGAAAAGGTTGTTTGATATGTATATTCTTCATTTATTTCTTGTATATATTTTTTATATTGCGAGTTTTTTGTATTGTTAGCAACACGAATCTATAACTCGCCAAATTCTCCTCTTCACGCCAAACTTTAATATTATTTGATAATGGTTAAAAGTATTGGAAAGTCTGATAAAAGATGCTTTGCAAAGTCATTTAACAAAGTTTAGAATTTTATTGGATAGTTAACATGGTTTCACTAAGGGAAAATCTAGCCTTACAAATAGTTTGAAAAGGTTACTGCTTATGTAGATAAGGGTAAGGGTGTAAATTTGGTGTATCTTGATTTTCAGAAAGCATCTGACAAGTTGCGACATCAAAGGTTTGTAAAAAAATCTCTATAGGTGTGGGGGATAAGCTAGCAAATTGGATAGAAGAGTGGCTGGATGAAAAAAAAGCAGAGTTGTTACAAATGGAGTTCAGTCAAACCAGATTAATGTCACAAGTGGGGTACCTTAGGGCTTAGTCTTAGGACCTTTGTTTGTTTTTTATTTTCATCAATGACATGGGTGAAAGAATGGTCACTAAGTTACTTAAATTTGCAGATGATATTAAGGTCTTGGGTGTTGCTATCTGTGAAGAGGATGCTGCTGATTTACAAAAGGATTTAGATCATTTAGAGCAAATAAATGACAGATGGGTTTTAATTATAATAAACACAAGATAGTGCATGTGTGTTATCATGATTTGAATTATAAGTATAATTTGAATGGGAATAACTTTAACAATGCCATCAGTTGATCAGTCTTTAAAGCCATCCAAGCAATGTGTTGTTGCTAGTGGTAGGCAAATAGGATTTTAGGTTGTAGCTACAGAAATATTGAATACAAATTTAAAGAGGTTATAATTTCATTGTATAGGCCACTGTTTAGGCCACATTTCGAATATTGTGTTCAGTCTTGGGCTCCTTACCTTAGGAAATGCATTGAATTGTTGGAAAGGGTTCAGAGAAGGGTTATTAGAATGATGCCTGGGATGGAGGGGTTGTCATATGAGGAGTGGCTTAAATCTATCAAATTACTTTCTGTAGATTAAAGAAGAGTTGGGGGATCTGATTGAGGTGTTTAAGATTGTAAAGGGTATTGATAGTGTTGATGCATCATATTTTTTCATACTTAACAGTGAGAATAGTAAGACTAGGGGACACAAATAAAACTTTTGGCAAGGTAGGAGTCATTTTCAGCTAAGACAGTTTTATTTTTTTTAACAGGGTGGTTGGCCTTTGGAATGGGTTGCCTTCGGATGTTGTGGAGGCAGTGAGTTTAAGAGAAAGCTTGAAAAGTATATGAATGATAAGGGCTGACATTAAGATTTTTTTAATTTACTTATTAATAGTTTTAGTTTAGTTTAGAGGATAGAATAGCCGAGATGGACCAGTAGGTCCCATGTTGTCCGAAAACGTTGTTATTACAAGTTTTGATTTTGTTATTTAATACTCTTAATTAGGCCGGTTATTAAAACATCTACTTTATTTAAGCGGTTATTTCTAATTTTGATCTACGTAAGTAGCATTCTTTGACAAGAATTATTGATAGAAAAAATAATCTCGTAGAGAAGAAAGCTTATTAGAACTGCGTTATTTTATCACAATTGTTAAAACTAGGTAAAAGTACTCGCACTCTACTGTGGGGTTCAACTAAGATTCACAGATGTCCTAGTTTAATGATTAAACTTCCTCGTTATTCCCAATTACTTCTATAGCGAAGCCAAGGGGAGTTCACATCCTAAAAAGAAAAAAGAAAGAAACGCTAGGACACCTGACCATGGTTTATGAACTCCTTTGCATAGTTTGATCCTTTTAACATGTTAATGGGGGGGGGGGATGAACAAAACTTCAAACACTGAGCGCCAAGTATTCAGATGCCCTGAAAATCTACACTTAGTTCCTCATCATACATGGCTGAATTTATTTATTTTTTTTGGAAACTATGGGCTACACCATTTAGATAAGGACACCCCGAATCCACCTGCCATGTTTGGTCTTCCTAGCTCCACAACTGGAAGAGGAGTTAGCTGGACATACATACAAAGTTACAAGCCGAAGTAATACAAGATAACTTGGGATTGTTGAAGAAAGTTTTTTTATTTCATCAACAAGAAGTCTGGTACAAGGATTACTAAAATCAAAAGTTGTTTGTTTTTTTAAATCTTAAATTTTCTCCTTCCATTCGACAACAACGAATAGATTAATACCAGTACCTTCTTTTACATTTTATAGTATTTGCTTCCATGATTTTACTAGATAGAATTCATAAATCCTGCAATATAACCGTTCAAGAAGCGATTGGAAACGTGTATTTGAAAAGGTAAACAAACTATTTGGGAATCCAGTATTACATTATTAAGTTTTTTTAGTAGACATCAGAGTTTAATAAAGCCTTAATACGTTATTCCGTTTATTGTTAAAATGTTAATATACTTAGTTTTTAGTGTAAAGGTGTAATAATTTTTTTATTTCAAATGATAACAAAGTTGTTGGCAGTGGTAACTTTATACGTGGGAGTGACGACTCAAATTTATTATGTAAAGAACGTATGGGTTCCCTGACATCTTTCTGGTTACTATGCATAGTTTATATTAGTTGCTTTTTAAAGATTTCTTAGGGGTTTATGGATTATGTCTTTAACTCTATTTTTCTATCAATGATTTACTTTTACGTTATCTTTTCTGTACGATTTCGCTAATTACTTGTTTCTCACGATTTCATTTAATTTCAGTTCATTACTGAATTTTGGAACATTTACTCTATAAGAGCCACAAATGATTATTACTTATTTTTGTTTTTTACTCCTGCAATGAAGCTCTTTAACCAAGAAACTAATTAACTTTAGAGAAAATAAAATTAGCATGAAAAAGGAGGAACCAATCAATCATTGTCATTCAGCAAGGTAAAATTGCCATATTAGATGAGGCGGTAACACGTATAAATAAGTACTTATTCCCATGTAACTAGAGCACTAGCATGTAACTCGAAGAATACTTGGCCTCATTCCAGTTTTGCTCCGTCCCACAGTCATGTTCTATTTAATACAAGCTTCTTTTATCCAGCACAACAGCGATTTCATTTTACACCTAATTCGTATACACAAACACGCGCGCGCGCATACAAACATTGAAAAAAGATTTCAAAGTTCTATAGCATCTTTTCCTGTTCAATTAATCGGTGTGATGTACTTAAGTTAAAGTGACAGCCATTTAGGTAATGTTGTGTTGTAGTTTAATAAATCATTGCTTTAAAATCAGTTTTAAACACGATACTAGTTACCGTAAATAATTGTCATAAGAGTATTCTGCGGTGAACAATTTAGGAAATAACACATTTATTAGTAAGTGACGTAATTACAGAAAAGCGTCACAGTGAATTGGCTATCCAGTGGCTCAGCGGTAAGTATGTTGGTATACGACATTAAAAGTTGGGTTTCGATACCCGTAGTGGGCAGAGCACAGATAGGCTATTGCGTAGTTTTTCTTAACAACAATCAAACGACTGTGAAGTGAACAACTTAAATTAATTTAGACTGGTGAATTAGAGGGATACCAAATAAACGTTAGCAAAGATGAACAATAATTAATTCGCCGATAATTCATTGTAAACTTTGTATTCACTCACAGTAAGAATTTTTTAATCGTTTGCAGATTTCCATGAATCAGTTTTACCCGAAGAAATAGTTAAACAGATACCATTGGAAAATTTCGACAAATTCTTGGATGACTATAGGAAAGCTTTTCAAAAATATGAAGTAACTTACAATACTGACGGAACATTCGCCGTTCAGCATACTGTTCTTGAAATTTGTCTTCAATTTGAAAATACTACAAGTTGAATTCTATTAAGGTGTCTTACACGATATACTTTTAAATTTTTAATTAATTATCAGATTAAATGAAGTCTAAATATAGATGTTAAAAGTTGTCAATTAATCTGTAACTTTTAGAAAGTTCTTTGTTAATGAAATGTAATAAAGTTATTTTTAAAACAGAATTTACTTTAGTAATTCTATAACAATAAAAGCTAAACTAAATTGTAAATTAGTATCATAAGAATCTAAAAAGTATTGAATATTATAGATCTTCATAACTACAGTTGCTGTTACTGTTAAAATGGAACAAACTTTTTGTTGCGTCAAAGTATTTGTTTGTTTTTGAATTTCGCGCAAAGCTACAAGAGGGCTATCTGCGTTAGCCGTCCCTAATTTAGCAGTGAAAGAAAAGAAGGAAGACAGCTAATCATCACCACCCACCGACAACTCTTGGGCTACTCTTTTGCCAACGAAGAGTGGGATTGACCGTCACATTATAACGTCCCCGCGGCTGAAAGGGAAAGCATGTTTGGTGGGATGGGGATTCAAACTCACGACTCTCAGATTGCGAGTCAAGCGCCCTAACCATCTAGCCATGCCGGGCTCAAAGTATTTGACTTAATTAAAAAAGGACTTAGTAAATGGTATACAGTAATGTGTTTAAGATATTATCATAACTATAAAGTCACATCAAGGTTTAATGGTAACATTTTAAATTAAATTTTCAGGTCAATTAACAATTTAAGTCAAGAGCTGCTAAAGGTAAAAATAACTACTGTTTTCAGCTAATCTGGCACTTTTAGGAAATAATTTAGTTTCAACCCTAGTTCAGGCTACCACATGGCTGGCTGGGTGATTGAGAACCATATAGGCATAAGAAATGTACTGATATAGCACCCATCACGCTGGTTACCCTGGAGCACAAGGGAAGTCATAAGTACTGAAATATAGCGGATGCTGCAAAACAAGCACCCAGTGGCACAGCGGTATGTCTGAGGATTTACAACGCTAGAAACTGGCGAAGTCGTAAAACCTTTACAATGTTCTTGGATGCGTCCAGTATTAACTGTCAGAAAGAAGGAAAATACACGAAATTGTGTGGATTTTAAACAGGTAAATGCAGTATCTTGTATTCATACCTTTACAAATGAGCAAATGAAGGCCCGGACATGTTAGATGTTTCCCATTGATTCACCCTGAATTCAGCATACGGATTTGAGCTGGATGATGAGAGGAAGTCTAAAACTGCTCTTAGCACAAGAGATGGTATGAATGAAATCGTCATCATTCCATTCAGTCTGTTTAATGAACCAACTACATTTGATTGACTGGTGGAACTTACATTGAAGGAACTGCAGTGTGAGAGATGACTAGGTCTACGTCGACGAAGTTTTGGTTGTTTAGCTGCACTTTCAATTCTGCATCTGAAAATGGCATTCCAGTATATCCAAAAACCAGGCATAAAACTGAAATCAGAAAAGTCTTTACACTGTATTACATATTATGTTTTACACTGTATTATAAATGTTTCATAGCCCGCTTCTCAAAGATAGCATCACCATTGTCAAATCTCACGAAAATGAATGCACACTTCAGATGGAGCAAGAAACGTAATAAACCAGTCTGATCTGTAGAGCTTACTTTAGTGGATGCTTCAGGGTTACCTTATCAATGTGAAGATTCTGAAGTTAAAACAATTTTATTATTCAAATAGAAAGATAACGTCTTTAGGAATATAGTAGAAACTCATCTGAATAATAGCAACACAGCATAGGTAATAGAATTCACATATCATTATTCTGTGTTAGACAACGAGTGTTGCAAGAAAGTCTTTATAACACAACCTCTTATCAAATAATTTTCTTGTTTTCCATTGTATTCCTTGATTCATGCTTTCTGCAAACGAATGTAGATGTATTTGATAAATTTGCACTTTGGATCTTTGACTGTCAACAACAAACACAACACACCATCCACGTGTTTTTAAAATATTGTATTCAAAACACGTCAAACGTATATACAAAAATTCGTTACACTATTAGTTATCACAGTTGTATCCTAAGTATTAAATAATTGTCTATTTTTCGTCTAAATCCACACGTGTGTTCAAATACTTTAAAACACCTTTTGTCAATACATATTATTCTCCTCTACTCTGTTATTACAACACAAGGCTGTGATATTCAACTTAAAATCACCATTAGTACTCTTGGTTACCACATTCATATCCAGAGCTTTAAGTAATTGTCTCCTTTTCGTCAAAGTCCACACAGGCGAGTTTAATTACTTTAGAACACCCTTTGACAAATAACTTTCCTCTATCTCTGTTATTACAATACAATCTGAAAAACTCGCTTTAGAAATTGCCCATTATGGCCAGACTCAAACAGTCTCATTTGACTTTTCTCACTTTTATATTTACTTTCACTAACTTACTTGGTCCCCTATAGAAAACCACTAGTTATATGATGCACGCAACAATACTCGATAAAAGCAACGAGAAAAGTGCAGAAAGTTTGAGTAACATGACATCAATTCACAACAACTAGGCTACAGAACAAATGATTCGTTACACAGTTATATAAGAAAACCTGTCATAACTATCAATTTTAAAAATAACTTGTTTTAATGTTCACATATAAACTAAATAATACTATTATGTTGAACTTAAAATGAACAGCTATGTACATCTAACAATAAGCCCCTCTTCAAGAGAAATATTTACAACATTTTTTTTATATTCTATACAAAGACTGTTCTCAGTTCATGTTCAAAGTTCATTCATATAGTTTGCACCAATATTTGCAGTCTCCTTGATTATCTTAATATGGAATTGATAGCTCTGTGGATACAACTCCCACCTCATGATCCTCACCTTGTTGGTTTTGTACCTTTGGATGTATGCAAGGGGCTGATGGTCCATCTGAATGATGAACTCCTTCCCATAAGAGGTAGTTCTGGAACTTCCGGATGGCAATTATGATGGCCAAACACACTCATTCGATAACAAAGTAGTTCATCTCACTACTCAACAGCATTTTACTTACACGCATTACTGGAAATAGCCCATCTTCATGTTCTTGTAGAAGTACTGCTCCAATTCTAATGACTGAAGCATTAGCTTGAACGATCAATGGTTTGTTGAAGTCTGGAATTCTAAGAATTGGCAAACTTCCTAACATGTTCTTTAACTTCTGGTATGCCATTTATTGTGTTTGTTCTCGCTTCACCTTGTTGTTTAGACATTTCTTGGTCAGGTCAGTCAGTGGTTCAGCAACTACATAGTTTGGGATGAACTTCCTGTAGTATCCCACTAACCCCAGGAGGATCCGTCTTGCTGTTTGGACATTGGAACTGGTGCATTTTGTATGTGTGTTAACTTCTCTTATTCCATGGCAATGTGTCAGTCCCTCAGCTTCTGTCCAACAAAGTCCAGCACAGAATAGCCAATGTAGCATTTAGATGGTCTGATGGTTAAACCTACTGCCCTCACTTGCCCAAACAGCTCTCCGAGTTTCTTCAAGTGGTCTTCCCATCTGGCTGTGTGGATCAGAATGTCATGATGATAATGCTCTATGTTGGTGGTTTTGTGCAAAATCTTTCTTGTCATGCAGTTGAATGTTGCTGCAGAATTGTCAAACTCAAATGGCATCTTCTTGAACTAGTAACACCAATGTGGTGTCATAAAGGCTGTCTTCTCTTTGAATTCTGCCTCCATTAGGATCAGCGAATAACCTTTACTAAGGTCGAGCTAGATTGAGCCATCCATCTTCTTTATGATTACCACTGGAGAACAGTAGGCTGAATACGAAGGCTCAATTATTACAGCATCTAAACTTGCCTCGACTTCTTGCTTGATTAGGTCTCTCATCACATATGACATCTGGTAAGGCTTTGCTTTGACTGGATCCCTGATCGTAGTCTCGATCTTGTGTTGCACAAGGTCTTTCTTGCCTGGTCTATCTCTGAAGATATCTACATACTGACATAGTAGATCTTGTAGCTCTTTCATATGCTTATCAATCAGTTCTTCACTGATGTTGACGTCTTTGCATGTCACATCTCCACCTAGTGGTTTTACGTCTAATAGGTCATCATCTTTTATGACAAAGTTGCTGTATTCTGGTTCTCATCTATGGCAGGTGCTACACCTTCCATATCCGTCTGTACCTCAATAGCTGCACCTGTTAGGTCTTCTTCTCTCTTAAAGTACCTCTTCAACAGACTAGTGTAATAGATCTAGTCTTCCCATCCACTTTCACCTTATAGTCCATTCTGTTCAATAGTTCCTGCACTTCAAAATGTCCTATACACTGTAGATAAGTTTGTTTTTGTTTATAGGTAGCAGAACCAAGACCTTCTGTTTGACCTTGAAATGTTTATCCTTGGCCTTCTTATCATGAAAATGCTTCTGACTGCTTTCAACTGCATACAAGCAAGTTGACAGGTTTTCTCCAGTCAGTTTCTGAGATTTAACACATACTGGTAAGTGTTCCTCTCTTCTGACTCTTCTCCTCCTGTCTACAACTCTTTCAATATCTGCATTGGTCCATGTACTGTTCTTCTATACAGCAACTTGAAGAGTGAAAATCTTGTACTTGCTTGTGAGACTTCTTGGTAAGCAAATAATACTGCATGCAGGTACTTGTCACAGTCACATAGTTTCTCTTGGCACATCTTCTTCGGTAGACTCTTTAAGATTCCATTGCCTCTCTCACAAAGGTTATTACATCTGGGGTTGTACGAGGTGGTAAAAAGTTACCTAGTGCTGTTGAGTCTGCACATTTCTTGCATCATTTCTAGGTAAAGTGGGTTCCTCTGTAATCCAAGACTTATTTTGGGAAGTCTAATTTGCAGTACCTTTCTGAGAGGGCTTCTGGTACTCTTCTCTGTCTGTATCAACGCTATGCCGTCTGGGTAAAGTGTTGTATAGTCGACTACTGTCTGCATATACCAGTTGCCCTTGTCAGATAAGGGTGCTAACAATCTGATCAACTACTTTTCTGAATGGCTCTTCCATGAGAGGCATCTCACCTAGTGGCATCTTGAATACCTTCTCTCTAGATATTGTCCTTTGGGAGATGTCAAATGACCTGTAGAATCTAGTCACATCTCCAATGATCCCTGGGCAATGGAAGTTGCTGGTGATTCTGTTTATCTTCTTTGCTCCTAGGTGTTCTTT